TGCAAACTGGACAGAGTCCAGGAGGCCGTCAGCGTTGGCAGCAGAAGCTTTTGAGATAGGCAGCATCCGTTCCTTGTTTCTCACAGCTCACTGACGGTGATGGGCGTTCACCTATACAGTGCGCACAGCACCCTTACCTGGGGATTTCCCTGTTGGGCAGCACCCAGCTGACCGGGGGCGGGGGGTGGGGTCGGTGAGAGCCACATGGGCTTCCGCGTCTCAGGGTGGTCATGGAGACATTTTATCACGCACGCGGCAGAACTTCCCACCAGTCGAGGCCATCTCGAGGCAAAGTGGGAGTTTGGGGTTTTGCAAGTTCTAGAGTGCCCCCCCCACGCCAATGCCAGAGCAAACCATGATTCCTTAGCACACCAATGAAGGAGAAAGAATTCCAGAGCCGTTAAAAAAGTATTGTTACTATGAAAAAATAACACATACTATCTTATATAATATATACAAATGCTGTCTATATTTACCAGTTTATTATATAAAGTTACGGGGCTGTACAGCGGGGTTACAGTTACATACGTCAGGTAACGAACGCATTTCTTTTGGGACAGTGTCACCCCTTCCCTCGTGTTCTTCCGGTTTCTCCTCCTGTCCCCACTGACAAGTGGTATAGTTCATTTTCCACATAATCTCTAGTGAGGACCACTGCTTCATTTGTTTGACGTTTGTCCCTCTGTTTCTGTGACCCCCTTCTCCTCCCAAAGACAGATAAACAAGACAAAAAGAAAAAAACACCAACAAAAACAAAGAAAAAATCCTCTTCGTTTCCATTTCCTGGAGTTCATTTTGATACAGATTATGCCATGTGATCAGATGCTCGTAGGCGTTGAGCCTTTGTGCTCATCCCCTAAGAGCGCCCTCCTTTGGTCTCACTGTGTGTGAATGCCTGGAGTCCTGATCGTCTATCATGACCCCGTCTGTGTACATTCAATCCAGCACCGATGGTCTCTCGGGGCTTGCTTACCTCACTTCACATGCTCAGTTCTGGGCCCATCCATGTCTCCAGGGCCCTCTGATCAGATGACTGGGAGGAGAGAGATGAGGTGGCCGGGCCTGGGAGATGGTTTAGCCCATGAGGAAGTGCTATCCCCGATCAATGGGAAAGTCAGAAAAGCTGGCTGACATTGGAGAGCACTTGGCCAGGGCGTGTGCGCATACATGTGTGCGTATGTGGGTGTGGGTGTGTGGTCATCACCCGCCTGCTTTTCTTGCAGTCCACTTGACCCCTGTGTCCTCGGCTAAGAATGGAATCAACGGCAAGAGTCGCAAGAGAATCATGGCAGACCCCGTGACAGAGCCCCCCGGGGCGGACCCCGTGTACGAAGCTCTCCTCTACTGCAACATCCCCAGTGTGGCCGAGCGCAGCATGGAAGGTAGGGACGGTGGCCCTAAGCCGCCCCCCCCCCCCACGTGGCTGCTGCCTGCGCCAGGACGCCCTCCGGGCACTGGGGTGAAAAGCTGAACGCCCAGGCTAAGATGCTGCAGCGGCCACTAAGGCCGCGCCTTCACATGGGGTTCTGGGGTTGTAGCAGCTGGCTCTCCAGATCCCTGTGTGTGAGGATGTGGGGGCGTGAGGGATTGAGGAACTGCTCTGAAGAGCCCGCCCTTGAGACCTGGGCAACAAAGTGGGGAGGGGGGGTCCTAGCCAGGTTCCTGGGGCTCACCCCAGCCACTCCACATTCCGGGGTCATTGTAGGGTCTGCCCATGGCCTTGGGGGTGTTGAGGAAATGCCATTTCTCTGGTTGTGTTTTCCTTGGTGTGATCATGTCCATTGTTTGTGCCCAGCTGTGTTTCTGGAAGGGCTTAAACCATTTTATTTTATTTTATTTTTTGGTCCTGGGGCTTGAACTCAGGGCCTGGGCTCTGTCCCTGAGCTTCTGCACAAAGCTAGTGCTCTACCACTTGAGCCACAGCACCACTTCTGGCCTTTTCTGAGTAGTTTCTTGGAGATAAGGGTCTAACAGACTTTCCTGCCCGGGCAGGCTTTGAACTGTGACTCTCAGATCTCAGCTTCCTGAGTAGCTAGGATGACAGGCGTGAGCCACGGACACCTGGTTCAGGGGTTCTTCAGCCATCCCATCCCACCCAGCCTAGCGGCTCTGCCCACAGCTCAGACCCCTGGACAGGGGCACTGTGACCTCTTCCTCCTCCTCTTCCACCTCCTCCTCCAAGTGAGGAACCTCTTCCCCTCTTCCCCCTCCTCATCTCCACCCCACCCTCCTCCTTCCCTTCCTTCTTCCCCTTCCCTCCTTCCCCTCCTCCTCTTCCTCCTCCTCCTCCTCTTAGCTATAAGCCTCTTCCCCCTCCTCCTCCTCCCCCCTCTTCTCCACCCCCCTTTTCTTCCCTTCCTCCCCTCCTTACCCCCCTCCTGCTCTTCTCCTTCCCGTCTCCCCCCTCCCCCTTCTCAGCCTGGTCCCACTCCCTTCAAGAGTCCCTACCTGCTGCGCCACTGGCGGCCCCTCTGCTTCGTCCCCAGGTCACGCTCCCCATCACTTTAAGCTGGTCTCTGTGCACGCGTTCATCCGCCATGGGGACCGCTATCCTCTCTACTCCATTCCCAAAACCAAGCGGCCCGAGATCGACTGCACCCTGGTGGCTGACAGGTAAATCGCATGCGTCCTGAAACCTCCGTCCTCAGCCCTCTGCCAGGCCCAGGTGGGGAAGGGGCCCTCGAGGCTGCCTCCGGCTGCTGGAGGCCTCCCTGGGGGTCACCCGCAGCCTGTGTGGCACGCCCCGTCCACCTGCAAGACCTGAGGCTCAGAGATGAGGACACCAGGCAGGCTTCACCTCCAGCCCCGGCCTATCCGGAGCCCTTCTCCCCCATCCTGCTCTTGAGACATTTGACCCAAGTTGCGGGGGGGGGGGGGAGAGGGGGGGAGGCAGACATGGCTTTAACCCAAGTTCAGGGAACAGCAGGCACGTCCCTGGATCTCAGGGAGCCCCCCATTTGTGAAATGGGGGTGGCTGCACAGAGGTGGGGTGAGGAGAAAGAGACTTCAGAGGAGGGGGTGTGCACAGATCCAAAGCCGAGCTAGAGGCCTGCCGTTAATCTGTCGGGGAGTAGAGACAGCCTGGTCTCCAGGATGTAGCAGAGTGTGGAAAAGGCCCGGCCCTGTGTGAGAAGCTCCGTCAGCAATAAAGGACCAGGCGTCCCTCCCTGATGTCAGTAGACAAGGGCAGGAGATGGAGAAAGAGCACAGTGGGGAGGATGTTACTCTGATGGAATGCTGCCAGGGGCCAGCCGCCTGCATGGTGCCAGCCGGGCTGGAGCTGGGGAAGAGGCAGGCAGGGCCCTGACCATTCGTTCCAGGACTCAGGCGAACTCTCAGTCTTCTCTCTCATTTAAATAATAGAGAGAGAGAGGAGCGAGAGCACCACCATGTGCTGGTGGCTTGCATCTGTAATCCTAGCTTACTTGGAAGGCCAGGAATGGGAGGATCGTGGTTTGAGGCCAGCTGGGTCAGAAAAATTCATAAGACTCCCCCTCTTTCCCCCCACCCCTTCAATCCATAGCTGGGCACAGTGATGTGTGTCCATCAGCCTAGCTATGATAGGAAGCCAAAAGCAGGTGGATCGACACCCACGTGTGCACCTGGGCAGGAGGAGATAGCCTGTCTCAAAAATAATTAAAAAGGGGGGGGGTGACTTAGTGGTAGCATGGCTATCTAGCAAGCGTAAGATCCTGAGTTCAAACCTAGTTACCCCCCACACACACACACACAAAGACACAGCTATTTGTTATCTATTCTGTATTTTTTTTCTTCCACAACTCTTCATCTTGCCCATAAAAGCTGTAATGAACACGCTTTAGATGTCACGGCATCATTAAGCAGTCAGCTACCCTGAGAACCTGCAGGCCCCGCCGAGCACGTTCAGGGTGAGCTCCATTTCTAAAACTGGCCGCATAATTTCTTCTGATCCTCACCAGTCGCCAACCTGAAATAAGGGTCTGGAACAGAGTATGTGAGCGGCATGGATGGCTAGCCCCGGCTGATGGGAATTTGTATTGGCAAGCCTCACTGTCGGTCTGGACATTTTATTTCTGAGTTTATAAACATTTATGTGCTTCAGCCTCGGGCAAAATAAAATAATTCTGTTTTTATGGAGAGAGACAATTCCCTGAGGCCATTCAGGGTGAGTTATTAATCTCTGCTGCCTGCCAGGATTAGCATCCTCTGATGCAATTTTTTTAAAGATGGATTTTTTTTCAGCTTTATGTTTTTGAAAGATAATAAACTCATCTTGGGCAGTGTGTGTGTGTGTGTGTGTGTGCGCGCGCATGTGCGTGCGCGCATGCATGCCAGTCCTGGGACTTGAACTCAGGACTTGGGTGCTGTCTCTGAGCTTTTTGTGCTCAAGGCTAGCACTCTACCGCTTGAGCCACAGCTCCACATCTGGTTTTTTGGTGGTTCATTGGAGATAAAGGTTTCACGAGGGCTGGGAAGGTGGCTCAGAGGTAGAGCGCTTGCCTTGCATGCATGAGGCCCTGGGTTCGATTCCCCAGCACCACATAAGCAAAAAGAAAAAAAGCCGGAAGTGGTGCTGTGGCTCAAGTGGTAGAGCTCTAGCCTTGAGCTGAAGAGCTGAGGGACAGTGCCCAGGCCCAGAGTTCAGGCCCCACGACCAGACCCCAAAAAAAAAGGTTTCTTAAACTTTCCTGCCCTTGATCCTCAGATCTCAGCCTCTTGAGATCTCCTGAAATCCTCATGAGCCACCAGTGCCCAGCTTAGCAGCCATTTTTAAAGGATTGCTGAAATTGATTAGGTTTTCAGACATCAGGATGGGCCACGAGAACAATTTGCCTTTTTGCTTCTTTCTCACGCAGCGTCACATGCAATTTGGATGTGAACTTAAGTTCTGCTAGATAATACAGACATAGTCACGGGCCCTTGCGTTACTCTGAGGAAATGTGTGTGTACTCATAGGTCATCTTCATTATCAGGGGAAATGGTGTATGTGTGACTAGAGAGGTCAATTATATCTTTACTTGTCACAGTGCCTCACAGTAGAAACCTCATAATCTGACTCCATAAACATTCTTTTAGCTGTTCCTTAGCCCACCCCACATGAAATGAGATATTGTATGTGCCAAGTGCAGAGCAGCTAGAAGACAGACCTTGAGTATCTTATTCAATTAACAGTTTTCCTCAAGGAAGACTCATCCCCGAAGGTGCTGGCCGAGACCTGCCAGGTTTTCAGGGCAGCTGACTGCTTCATGCAGGTGGAAAAAATAATATGTAGAAAGGGGTGGGACAGGGCTGGGAAGGTGGCTCAGTGGTAGAGCGCTTGCCTAGCATGCAGGAGGCCCTGGGTTTGATTCCTTGGTACCACATACACAGAAAAAGCCAGACATGGTGCTGTGGCTCAAGTGGTAGAGCACTAGCCTTGAGCAAAAGAAGCTCAGGACAGTGCCCAGGCCCTGAGTTCAAGCCCCAGGACTGGGAAAAAAGGAAGGAAAGAAGGAAGAAAGGAAGGGAGGGAGGGAGGAAGGGAGGGAGGGACAAGAAAGAAGGAGGTGTGGGGGAGGAAATGGAGATCAGAGTGACTGAGGTAGGGGAGGGAAGAGGCAGGGCCAGACCACAGTGACAGGCGTGCAGGCCCTCTGAGCGCAGCCAGGTGCAAGGGCAGAGATGCTTTGGAGTTGCCTTTGAAGCGCTGGCCCTGTGGCTCTGGGGGAGACAGACGGGAGGGGCAGGAAGACCAGTTGAAGGCCCTGTGGCCCAGGAAGTGATGTGAGAGGCAGCAGGTGAAAGGCTTTGCAGGCTGGGTGGGTGGTGCAGGGGAAGCGGGCACAGGGTAACCCCCAGCCCGGTGCCTGTCACTGCCCCGTCTGCGCATCAAGCAATTGATGGAGCTAAAATAAAACCTGTTCTGGTGGGCAAGAAAGGCCATGACGCATACGGGGTTTGCTTGGTGAGGCCAGGAATGTTCTGAAACCCTCTGATGACTAATCCTCCGGTGTCTCCTCAGGAAACCCTATCACCCCAAACTGGAAGCCTTCGTTAGTCATATGTCGAAGGGATCTGGAGCCTCTTTTGAAAGCCCCTTAAATTCACTGCCTCTCTACCCTAACCATCCTCTGTGTGAGATGGGGGAGCTCACGCAGACAGGTATGTGTGACCACTTCCCCCCAGCCTTCTGTTCATGTCTGCTCGGAGCCCGTTCCCCGGGGATGGAGCCCAGAGACCCCAAGGTGTCTAATTGAACATCTGCTTTCTGCAGGTTAAAACCAACCTTTCAGAGACAGGTGCTGGTGGCTCACGCCACTACTTAGGAGGTTGAGATCTGAGGATCGTAGTTCAAAGCCAGCTTGGACAGGAAAGTCTCTAAGACTCTTATCTCCAACTAACCACCAGAAAACCAGAAGTGGCTGTGTGGCTCAAAATGGTAGAGTACTAGCCTTGGTCAGAAGAGTTCAGGGACACTGCCTAGGCCCTGAGTTCAAGCCCCATGACTGGAGGAAAAAATACCTGTAATCCCAGCTACGGGAGCATGAGAGATAAGGGAACTGAGGTCTAAAACGAGGCAAAATAAAACCTCATCTGGAAAGTTAACTGAAGCAAAGATCGTTGCATGGATGGCTAGATAGATAGATAGGCAGACAGACAGATAGATACTTAAAGTGTGGCTCAGATTAGAGCACCTGCTTAGCAAGTGTGGCTCTAAGTTCAACCTCCAGTTCCACCAAAAGACAATCATTTTTTAAAAAAGGATTTTTTAAAAAAAAAACAAGAAACATTCCTGAAGATAAATTCCAAAAGACAATAAAGTAAAAGAAAGCACCTGCCATCCCATCCAAGAATCAGACCCTGACTAGTAGTTTTTCTACCTATGTGCATGTTTACTTGTGCACGTGGACACACACAGGCGCACACGCGCGCTCACACACACACACAGTAGTAGCTCACATGCAATCTTTGGTCATCCACTTGTCACATGAGTTATGTGGTGAATGTCCCTCTCTGTAACTCATGTCTGCGGATGGAGGCGTCCGGACACCGTGTGCCTTGGGCTTGCCCTCGAGCCAGCCCCTGTTGCCCTGTCTTCTAGGAGTCGTGCAGCACTTGCAAAATGGCCAGCTGCTGCGGGACGTCTACCTGAAGAAACACCACCTCCTGCCCAACAACTGGTCTACCGCTCACCTTTACTTAGAGACCACCGGCAAGAGCCGCACCCTGCAGAGCGCACTGGCCCTGCTCTACGGCTTCCTCCCGGACTTTGACTGGAAGAAGATTTACTTCAGGCACCAGCCCAGCACCCTGTTCTGCTCCGGAAGCTGCTACTGCCCGGTGAGAAACCAGTACCTGGAGAAGGAGCAGCGCCGTCAGTACCTCCTACGGCTGAAGAACGGCCTGCTGGAGCGGACCTACGGCGAGATGGCCAGGATCGTGGACGTCCCCACCAAGCAGCTGCGCGCCGCCAACCCCATAGACTCCATGCTCTGCCACTTCTGCCACAACGTCAGCTTCCCCTGCACCCGGAGCGGCTGCATCGACATGGAGCACTTCAAGGTGATCAAGACTCACCAGATCGAAGACGAGAGGGAGAGGCGGGAGAAGAAGCTGTACCTGGGTTACTCGCTCCTCGGCGCCCACCCCATCCTCAACCAAACCGTCGACCGGATGCAGCGAGCCACCGAGGGCGGGAAAGAGGAGCTCTTCACCCTCTACTCCGCCCACGACGTCACCCTGTCCCCACTCCTCAGTGCCCTGGGCCTGTCGGAAGCCAGGTTCCCGAGGTTTGCAGCCAGGCTGATCTTCGAGCTCTGGCAGGACAGAGAGAAGCCCAGCGAGCACGCGGTCCGCGTCCTCTACAACGGCGTCGACGTCACATTCCACACCTCCTTCTGTAGGGACCACCACAGGCGCTCCCCCAAGCCCCTGTGTCCTCTAGAGAATTTGGTCCGCTTTGTCAAAAGGGACATGTTTGTGGCCCTGGATAGCAGCAGTACTAATTATTTCGAGGCGTGCCACAGGGAAGGAGCGTGAAAGGTACTCAGCAACAGCACTGGGGGCCAGTGCTCACATGCCAGGCAGGAAAGGGGTCTGCTTGTAGTTTGGTTTTGAAAGGTTTCAAAGTCTTGATTTTTTTTTTCTTTTCTGTACACTTGTGCCAGTTGTGGGGCTTAAACTCTCCTTCAAGACCAGTGTTCTACCACTTGAACCAAAGTTCCACTTCCAGCTTTCTTTTTTCTTTCTTTTTTTTTTTTTTGAGTGGTTAATTGGGGATAAAGAGTCTCATGGATTTCCTGCCTTGACTAGCTTTGAACCATGATCCTCAGATCTCAGCCTCCTGAGTAGCTAGGATGACAGATGTGAGCCACTGGCTCTGAGTCATGGTTTTAAAAGGCTGTAATTTTTTTTGGGGGGGGGGTCCGGTTGTGGGGCCTGAACTCTGGGCCTGGGCGCTGTCCCTCAGCTCTTCAGCTCAAGGCTAGTGCTCTACCACTTGAGCCACAGCACCACTTCTGGCTTTTTTTTCTTTTTGCTTATGTGGTGCTTGGGAATTGAACCCAGGGTATCATGCATGCAAGGCAAGAGCTCTACCACTGAGCCACCTTCCCAGCTCCCTAAAAGGCTGTAATTTGGTACGTGAGCTATTTGGTACGTGAGCTATTTGGTACGAAATGGCTAGTTCACAGAGCAGAAGAGAAGGTACTCGATCCCAGCCACACATTTCTCAGAATGCCAGAATAATCTCTAGTACCCAAAGTTACCAATCCAAGTTTGTATTCTTTTAATCTGCCAAACCGAAGAACCAGCAAACCTCAGCCACAATTTTCTTAATCTCGGATGCTTTTACCTTTCAATGAAAATTTTGTCTAAAACAAGGATTGGCACACTTTTTTCCTTAAAGGATCAGGTAGTAAAGATTTTAACCTGCAGACCAAAAAGATCACAGACAATCTCTGTCGTTAACCACCCAGCTCTGCGGCAGTAACCTAGCAGCCCAGGATGAGAGTAAAAGCTTCAGCGTGTTTGTGTTCACAGGCTGAACCAAAAGACTAGTAAGGCCAGTGTTGGCCCTGAAAGGCTGAGATTTGCTGACCTGGTTTTGAAACCAGTATCTACTACAAGTTGCACGAGCAGCACTTTGTGAACCAGTTGACTACCAAGAATGGGTTAATGGTCCTTCTGCTAGAAAGAGTTTGATCACACACAGAATCAGAGTGAACCCTAGATGATGACTAATGAAATACTTGGCGTCCATCATGATCATGGTACAGGATCGTTTCACGTACGTTTCAGGTATTTGTCTGCTGTAGTCTATCTGCTGTATAGGCTGAAATTTTTGTATTCCATGTAGTATTTTTATAGTCTAGGAAAATATTTTCAGGGGCCAGTTTTAGATGTGTTCTTATACCTATGGTAATATTTAATTTACTGTTCGGTGGGTAAAAGGCGGCCAGAAGCTGAATTCAAGCACTTTTTCCCCCCAAAATCAATAATAATAATGGCTTATTCCTTTTGACAAGCCCTAGAATTGAATCAATTTTTAAACCATTTTCACCAGTTGTAAATGGCAAATTCCGATTGATTTTTAGACATGTTTTTAGAAGAACTTTGTTACTAGAGAGTTAAATAATCTTTCTAAGGTATTTTATATACTAGAACAGTTGTAATCGAGTCTGTGGTCTAAATAATGGTGCTAAGTTCCATCAGAAGAAATGTAATGTTTGAGTGCGATTTTCCAGAACGTTGGCATTCCAACCTCTTCATCGTTGTCCAAGTGTGACATTCGAACACGTGTTTCTATAAATAAAGTTTTGAAGAAATACTTACCCTGTACAGCTCATGGTGTGCACCTGTGAAACATGCAAGTTCTTCTCAAGTGAAAACATTTTTTTAAATTGATCTTCAAGACGGATTAAAATTGAAGATTGAATTCTCTCACTCGAGCCTTTCCAGGTTACAACCATGAAGACAATCCTAGAGGCAGAGGTAGGAGGATCGAGGTCTGTGGCCAGCTGAGGCAAAAGTGTGAGACCCTATCTAAAAAGCAAATTGGAAAGAGCAAAAGTAGTGGGGGAGGAAGGGGTGGCTCAACTGGTAGAGTGCTTGCCAGAAGATAAGAGGCCTGAGTTCAGTCCCCAGTACCACAGGGGGAAAAGGGGGAAGGAAGCAGCAATCACCCTAAGGTGACCAGTGGTACTTGCAATAAGTACAAAGATGGAGGAGTTGGTGTATCTCCTGCATGCTCAGGAGAGAGGAAGATGCTGTCAGTGTCCCCATATAGGCGACCAGATTTTCAGGATCTCTATCAGCGTCTTGGCCCTCACTCTCCATCTGCTCTTCCCTACCAGTGGTCTTGGAGTGTGTGATAGTCCCACAAAAGGAGACAGCCTGAGAATCACCCAGACAAGGTTCAGATCCAGGTCTCCACCACTTTCCCAGGTGGGAGACTTTCCGCAGAACACCTAGAATTTCCATGGGATCCTCATCTAACACTGGGACAGTGGCTGCCATGACTGCATCCACCAAACTGTAGCCCATGGGCGTCTCCATATGCTCAGAGCCATTACTGCTCCTGTGTGACTGTTCTTGTCATTGCAGCGGGCCACTGGAACCCACCTGCAGGCACTCGTCCTACTCTAGATGCGACTAGGAGATAGAACTCCTTGGGTGCACACTTTTCCCTTGGGGGGTTGCAAAGATCAAGCTGGCTGAGTTCTGCTGTTTGCATTCAACTTTTACTATAAACATCCCAAGTATTACCCAAGGAGCCTCATCCTTTTACCCATCTTCCCTTACTGGGCTGTGTAATGTCTTTGTGTGACAGTTAGGATTGTCCATTCTGAAAGGCTGCTGGCCACAGGGTTCTACCAGAGGCTTTAAGCTGCTGATCTGGCCCTGCCTGGTCCCTGGAGAAGCAGCCTTAGGACATGGCACGCTCCTCCCACAGGGGGAGGGCCCAGCATCGGCACTAAAAAGCTAGAACACAACTAAGGCCTCACCTTAGGCGGAGCCACACCTGTTTGGGTAGGCACTTTCTGGAACAAGAAGCCCTTCCGGGGACCTTCGCCATACCTGGGGCTCCCTCATGCCTGAAGTGGAGGCCTTGGCCACCGGGCAGGAGGTAGATGTGAAGGGGGTGTCACATTATTCCCTAGAGCCACTGCCACCTGATCCCTGTTCTTTGCCAGCACACTGAAGGCCCCTCTGCTGGCCCCAGAGCGGGTCAGCTCTTCTCCCCACCTGTGTCCAGTGATGTAGCATACTTCTGTCCAGGTGGTAGAACATTAACAATGATACAGTGAAGTTGGTGGCCGGGGTCCTTCGGCTGGAGTGACCTTGCTCATCTGGAATCGCAACACTCCCCGGCCTGCAGTCTGTCCTCATCCTAACACCCCAAGATGGATAGCCTGGGAGACACACCCCGCTCCCTGAAGATCCTCCCAGCCTGCCTTAATGGCAGATCTCCCAACCCAGCAACGCCTCCAGGCCTGCACAAGGCCACAGGCTCACAGAATAGAAGTGCGCATGTGTGGGAGGGGGGGGGGAGAGGGTGTGGAGAGGAAGCGCGAACTACAACTCCCAAGAGCCTCTTGGCTAGGACTCCATTTCCCAGAAAGCCTCACTCGCGGGGGGGCGGAACTACTTAGGTTTTCGAAAGCGAAAGGTCGCGGGAGACGGTACTTTTTCTTCTTCTTCCTTCTCGAAGTTTCTGCCTCCAGGGGTCGTTCATGAGTCAAAGAAAACGCAGCGTTTGGAAGGAGGACTGCCCGCAGCGTGGCGCCTGAGGGCGCCGCGGGGGCTGCAGGGGGCGAGGCGCGGGCCGTGGGGACAGGTAGGGGTTGGAGCCCACAGGGGTGGCCCGTCCGGCTGAGGACCCCCTCCCCCCAAAGCCTGGATTCTGGGGGCCACCAATCCCCTTCCTAACCGCCTCCACTCCCCGTCACCCCTGACAATGGCCTCTGCGGGCCCCAGGCCCCATTTTCATCTTTTCCTTGAAGAAAAAGCTAGTAGGCCCCAGTCCCCCCTCACCCCTCCCACACCCCCCACACCCCCACCCCTCAACCAGGAGCAGCTGGGTGCGGTGGGGGCTCTGGAGCTTTGGGAGGAAGAGGGAGGGAAAAGAAATGGAAGGGACGAAGTGAAGTAAAGAGGTTGCTTAGGACCTGGGAGGGCCGGGGAGTCCTGGGTCCTGCCAGGGTTGGGGTGCAGGGGTGAAGGAGCGAGGGACTGAGGCCTCAGGTCCCTGCTGCGGGCCCAGAACAAAGAAATACGTAGGGTCCCAAGCAGGCAGAATTGAGTTTCTGCATGCGCACACACTCCGTAGTAATGCAGCTGTTTTCTAAACACCTCCCGTATCTGTGTGTGGGTCCTGGTGTTTGAACTCAGGGCTTGAGCTCTGGTCCCTGAGCTACCACTACCACTTGAGGCACAAACTCTACTTCTTCTTCTTCTTCTCCTTCTCCTTCTCCTTCTCCTCCTCCTCCTCCTCCTCCTCCTCCTCCTCCTCTTTCTTCCTCCTCCTCCTCCTTCTT